CCCCAGTTGCATGGGAACCAAAGGCGATATACTAAACAGAAACCTAATGTAATGTAACCCAAGATGCATCTGACAAAAGAGTATTAATTTAAAGTACAGAGGTCAATGTTTATGCAAACATATTTCAAAAAATAAAAAGCCTACACTAATACGCACCTCATCACCGTTATTCACAGATTGGAATTTCGCTAGGGCATTCTCTGCAAGGGAGCGAGCATGGCAGTACAACACATAAGCTTCTACCCTCTTACCGGCCAAGCTGTATGATTTGCCCAGAAAGAAACACCTGCGAAAAGTTGGAATACTGATAAATTTATAGAATAGACAATATCCCTTGACACCTATATACCAAATCTATTGATAAGAGTAGAACCTTGGTTGTTTGTTCAAGCAGAGCAATATAACAAGCATGAAACCGTAAACAAGATATAGTGAATCCTCGATATCATGTGCCTTAGTTTTTTCTAAAGGGGTGAAGAAGACAAAAAACACGTAATTTGGTAACTGCAGAAAATTTAAAAGTCAACCTAAGTACAAGAAAACCACTTTGTGATATTAACTTTTACGTAAGAGTTCCTACAATGGCAAGAAAAGTTATCATGATACATGTAAACTTGGTATTTTAGGGCCACTGATTTTGTAGAAGATAGGGATGTCCTGAATTCAAGATTTAATGAGGCATAGGCGTCATCTGAAAAAACAAGCACAGAAGCAATCCCAAGAACATAGCGTTGATGAAGAGAAGTATGCCAGAGTTCATAAAACAATATATACATATATATATATATATATATATATATATAAATAAATTAAAAAGATAGCTCTGCTGAAAAAAAACCTCTCTGCCCGGAAGGCTAAACTTTTTAGTTCACATTCGTCAGCAAAAGCCACTTCTTCTGGTTTTTTGTCTCTTCCTGAGCTGACTAAATCTGATAGATCAGATGTATTCTGCCAAATATCACAACACACATGGTATTCTATTTATAACCTGAGATATCAGCATATAGTAAAAGTAAAGCATTTACACATGATGAAAGGCAAGTAGGAAACAATTCAAAACAGAGGCAACTAACCTGTAATAGTAGATCATACAACCGAACAAGCTCTTCAGGCTTAGTAGCTTTCTCGTTTTTGTCATCACGTCTTTTGGTAAGTTTACTCTTCGCAATGGTAACCAACATTTGGTTGCGCTCAATGGTTCGCTCTCCCAATACAGCACTAACAGCTTTATCAAGGCCATTCAGGTCATCCTTCACATTTTCAGAATTACCTGCACTGGCCTATATACAGTGCATCAGAACAGCAGCATGAAAAAAAATACAAAATAATGATGAAGCACAATACAAAAAGACGAATCCCTGGGGGCATCAGAAAAGGAAATGAAAACATCTTATATTGAGAAACTTCCATACCAAGTCACTGCGAATGGAACCCCTTGCCTCATGGTATGCAGTAAAAATTTTGTCAAAAATGCCTAGTTTTTTCTCTGGTGGGAGTGAATTAGTTGATGAACCAAGCAAATCTTTCTCCAATTCTTGAGCTGAACAATTTTGTCACATCAAAACAAAGAATAGCAGTTAGTGGAATTAAAGTATGCAAAAAGAAAGAGACAAATAAAACAAAAGATAGCACTTTATTGGAATTATAAATGTGCAAAAATAAAGAAAGAAACATGACATGATGAATCACACCAAATTTGCACAAAAAATTCATAGAATCTGTAATTTGTGAAATCTAAGGAGGATAAAGGCTGCATATCTCTCAATTGCAATGACATATGACAAGTATCTGGTTCTGGCTAGGACTTTCCCTACCTATAACTTTTCTAAGTCAAAATTAAAAGGATATCTCTCTCGTAACAGTTCCCAGAAATATGCATCAAAAACCTTGTCTAGTTTTTTTCCCATTCTGAAGATTACAAAGAGCCCACCCCACACAGTCCTAATGAATGGTGCACATTTTCAAATTCCAAAGAGTAGTTCAGTTTTGTAATTCTCAGATCCTTTTAGACATACCATCATTTTTTCAGTGAAAAACAAATCTCCATCTTCAGCTAAAGGTTCTCATCATACAAACAAATCACTCTCATGAGACCTTACTGGCACATACATTTACACTCTCACACACACGGAGCATGAACAACAAGAGATATGATCTGCTATGCAATGTCCTCTACCAATTAACAAAAACCTAAAACCAGTAGGATTTTTTATTTTTTATTTTTTTATGAGGACAAGAAAAACAAAATTCTTTATATTGGTGCCATGACTTAAAATAGTAAACAAACTAAACAAATTACTGACCTTTTAAAATGGAAACTCGAGTTTTTGGATTTGATATTGGAAATCTATGACCAAGCCAATGAAACTCTGTCATGGAGGCAGCCTGTTGAGATCTTGCCTCGGCCATAACAGCCTATATTTCCAAGTTTCTTCAAGTCATCAGTAAAATAAAAAGAAGCCTCTGAGGGATAAAGGGAGGAAAAGCATCAAATGTATGGTTTACTTTAAATGTAACCAACCCTACCTCCAATTTAGCCTTGAAGAGGTCCAGCGCAGGTCCTTCCATCTCACCAATCTGTAGAAGTTCGGAGGCTTGTAGATTTGACTCTCCAACCTTGTGTAGGCAGTATCGAATACTAGGTTCTAATTCCTCAACACGCTCACGGCACAAAACTTGATTCTCCAGGTCTCCATATTTAGCAAGTTCCTCATAAACAGCCCTAAACATATTAACACAAAGTTATACGTACACTATTCATCGAACCAAAAATACTTGACTCCTACATGCATAACCGTCTAATTCAAATGCTGTATCTGTTCCATTAGAATTGTATTAATGGAAAGCTTAACTTGTAGCAAAAAGCAACTAGAGAAATTATATTCCGTTTTGCAGCATGTATTTTAATCGGTTAGTGCTTTTGAACATTGATAATTTAGACTTTTGGGGCAAACACAAAATGAAGGCATCAAATTACCCATGCATTTCTAACATAAAAGCAGCATTAATTAATGTATATAATTTGAGACAAGATTGAACCTGGCACTTTTGAAATTCATCAATGCGGTGTCCCAATTTTGATCTTGCTCAAACAACAAGCTCCCCTTCATAAAGGAGGCATAAGCCTACATATTAAATTAAAAGTTGCAAGGTGAGAAGAAAATAAGCCATGCCACTTGAAACAAAAGCTCTATTAAATCAATGAAAATCACATGTTAATCATACCATATGATATTATGACCCAAAAATATTATGAATTTGGGACAGGATATGCACATGCAACTGAAACAAGAAAAAATTAAGCACCTCGGCTTCTAAAGAAGTTCTGGAATCTCCCTTGATTGCACACAACTGTGCAAAAAGTGTGGCCCATTTTACTGCCTTCCTCAGCCTACCAATTAGATAGATTCGCTGACGAGCATTTGGACCATCCAGAACCTGTCTCTTTTCCATGGCATGGCTCCACGCTCTCTCCGCCGTATAAAGAACCACATGAAGATACCTATCACAAATCCAGAAAATTAAAATGTTAAAGCATGAAAATAACTCAATGAACTAAAAAATATTGTTCCTAGTTCCTACATACTCCAAAATTCGTACATTTTCGCTAGTCCAGCAATAAAAATAGATGACCAACATATAATTCAATTCCAAAAACAAAATTCATGAGAAAATAAGACCCACCTCACTTCGGTGACAGTAGATTCAGTAATGGCCCGGCGGTTGTATTTACCGCGGCCATGAGTGAACTTCAACGACTTATACAACCTCCTCAACCTTGCAGTGCAATACCGCCTGCGAAAAAATTCAATTCCAGCAACAAAACATATCAATTTCTACTCACAATGCACACAAACACACACCATGAACAACAATAAAACACAAAATTAAACCAAATGACAATGAATATGTACCGATAACGAGTGTAATCTCCGTGGCGCAATCCGTGCTGCATCTGAGCAGATTTCAAGAGCAGCAGCACTGTGAAAATCGAAATTAAATCAAAATCCAGACGAAAAAAACCGACGACGGAGATAATGATTTCAGAAACGAAGGGATTGGAGAACGAACCGTTAATGGAGAATTTAGGGGAGATCTGATCGGAACTGTTGGGCTTTGGATCCTCGATTTCCATGGCGGACGCCTGGCTCTCTTTCCTCATCTGAAAAATTCTCTCATTGAGAAAAAAAACACAGATAAATCAATTGATAAGTAGAAGCATTTCACAGAGAAACGGAGGCGTTTGGTTGCCGGAAAATACCTACCTGGGATAAGGTGATGTCTCGGGTAATGTAATTCGATGGATTGCTCCGGCGGCGGCGGCCTCGCAGTCGCAGTGCTCTCGGTATCTCTCTCTGTGGCTCGTACTACTTTTGTGGATGGTCTCCTTGGCGCTGCTACAGCACGTGCCCTTCACGTGAATGGACAATGCGGCTTGAATTCACGATACCACAATATAAACAATAATTCAAATCAATCCAGACCATCCAATATTTGTAGTATTTAATGCTATGTATTTATGTAGTATGGAAGAATTTTAGATGGTGAATGTATTAGGTAAATGCACGTAACTTAGCAAATATTATTGTCTATGAGTTTGATACGTGTGCAAATGTTTTTAATTTTGTGTTTTGAATGAGCAATTTATGCTTATGTGCCAAATTGTGTTAATAGTTGTGGATATGATTTATCATCACATGACGTCTCGATTTAATAATGCATTGCGTTGGACAAAAATGCTACAATAATAGTAAACATGTTTCATTCAAGTCATTTTTTAAGTAAGAGTCAAAATTTCCCAATTCTACAAGTATTGCTCAAAATTCTTTAGTTTTAAGTTTTATATCATTATTTTTAGAGCGTTTAAAGCTTAATGATAAGAGGTTTCGCACAAAATACTACATTTTAAAGAATATAAAGACGATAATTCAGTGTCGTGAAAAAAAAAATTAGAACAAAAACCCAAAAATAAATAAGTAATCTACAAATGGATCGATGTACGAGCCGATTCTCCCATATTACTTATTCATTTGGTTCCTCATCTTCTCCATGACCAACGAGACATGTCAATTCAGAGCGCCCTTGACAAACGAACTCCTCAACATCGCACATTCTTACTTTTCAGCGGTCGAATATCTGAACTACAAGTCGATGATAAGCGTTCGAATTTCCATTGGAGCAAGATCAACCACCAGCTTTGTTGGATCAACAGGTCCTCCCCTTAACACTTTGGCTTCTTTGTCGGAGGAGCCTTCTGCTTTCCACACTAGTCTCTTCTTCTCCATTTCCGCTCTTTCTTGGTTTGCAGATAAACTCATTTCCGTTACTTTTCTAATCTGAGTTTCATTGGAATGAAAAATGTGTTACCAGAAGTATTTAGATGGTTTGTTTTTCGGATCAGTTTTTATCTTCATGGGCAGATGTTTATGTTACGTACCTTCTTATCTGCAAACACTTTTTTGAGCTCTACACTTGCCATAACCGAAAGATCCTTGTCCTCGTCAATCTAGCATTTGATAAACCATAGAAATATCAATCTTATTAGAATTCGTTGCTGAAAACGTAAAGTAAGAATAAGGAAGAATCAAAAACCTCGTATAAATGTGCAAGGCGAAACAGAAGTTTTCCATCTTCCAGCTCCTACAGAGTTTGGAAAACAGGATTAACAATGTTAATCTGATAGAGGAATTTTTTCATCTTTTCATAGGATGCTGCTTCCATGTTATCGAGGAGAGATACGAACCTGGAGGGTTATTATCGCGACATTATCAGTTAAAGTGTAGGAAGGATCCATTCCCGAAAAGGTTGTGACATGAGAGCTTTTCCAGCTATCTTCATCTTGTTCTGTGAAGGCTAAAAGAAATGGAGAATATATCTCCTGACCAAAAGATCGGCGCCATTTAGCACCCTCTCCCAATGGATCGAGTCTGAGGTAGTACTTTCCGATGATCTGTCAGTATTCAAATCAATCACATTAGATGCAAAAAAATCTGGTATTTGTGAACACGAAGAACCATAAGGCTGGTTTTTATGATCTTACTGTTAATCCTTTGCAACCATCTTGAATGCACACAGTTTCGTTTAGAGCTTCTCCAACGCCTCTGTCATCATCATGGGTCAACCTCCTAATAGACGGATGGTTGCAACATCAATAACCATGAAATTTACTCAAATATAAATCGACGTAATTAGGCGTAGTTAAACATGAAAATTCGAAGTAGCGGAGAGAACAAACCTATGAACCATGAGTTCCAATTGCCCATCCACAATGCTGGATCCACCCACAGATCTATCTACTAATACTGAAAACTCCGTGTTGTTGTCTTTCGTGTAGAGTCCGAGATTAATCTAAAATGACAGAAAACCAGACTTTGTCATGTGATTAAAGAACCTAAGCACTTCATAATTTACAACAGTTTGAATGATTAATTTGGGAAATTCTTGGCCACTTTTTTGTTGTCCTGCTTTATCCTACATACCGGATAATAATTTCCTGCGACGGGTTGATTCAATTCCAAGTTCCAATCCTTTCTATAGTCTCGAATCTGCAAAATAGTAATTTTTGCTAAGAAAATGTATAGCTGCACCTTACATTCACTTGTTTCTTTCGAGTTGCAGATGCTTCATACATGTTCTGTAGAGGATATTTTTGCACTACAAATGAAACAAGTATACGACATACTCTTTCAATAAAATCGCGCGCGTTAGAATCTGTGTAGAACTTTTTGTTGGTTTCCATGCCAGTTGTAATCTTAGTCACGATTTCTTTGCCAATTCCATCATCGATTGGTATAGGCCCAACCTGCAAAATGAGAATCTGTTGTCAAAGAAAGTTCTCCACATGGTAATTCTTTGATATCCACATGAAACGTGCAATGGAAATACGCAACACAATGCAGTAACTCACCGTAAATTCAATCTCAGCATGCTCCTTTTCCTTGTACAATCTAGTGACCTGTTTAAATTTGCAGCAAATAAACAATTGGTAATATCGTTAGCGGAATCTTCACACCATGAAAAAGAAAACCCATAAATCATTTCCACAGACCTGATATATCCAAGAGTTGATCCTCTGATGTACTTCATCTAACAACGGTCCCCTCAGCACAGTAAAAGAAACCTGCAATTTCTAACGGTAACTCGCTATTTCTTATTGAGATTGCATTTGATAAAAGTTGAAACACTCATCGAAGATATTATGTATGTACCTGCCCTTCGGAGTTAATGGGGACTGTACCATTAGGGCGGAAGATATAAGCTCCCGAGGCCTTCAGAAATTAAAATGTATATCAAGGTTAGGGAAGTAACAACAACAGCAACAACTGAAGACTTCGATATATCTTTGTTTTACCTGTTTATCCGCGCTTCCATGATGTCCATCATCTCCAGGGTAATAACTAAAAGCTTGTTGTATCGACTTGTTGACCTTCAGTTGTAAACTAGACGTTAAATCAGAAGCATTGAGAAATAGCCTCAAGAATCGAAACACAGATGCAAGTTGGCAAATTTGCTTACCAAGCTTCCAGTGTTGATGTATTGAGTAAGTTTTCCATCATTTCCAGAATAAACAAGTTTCAATTTTCCTGGCCCGACTTCTATGGTATCATTCTGACTCGTTTCTGACTTGTAAGCAGTTTGTCTCTCTGAAGTTGTAGCTGCATCAATAGTAAGGAGGAAGCATGAGAAACAAAATTGAGCCACTATGCATAAGTAGTACGGTATGTTGAATGAGTATTGTAAGCGTAAAAATTCTCATCGCTAACCTGTTCGTGTGGCACTTGACACGGTATAAGTGCTAAAACCAAGAGGTGGTACAGTTGCTGAAAATGCAAGCCAGTAACTTGGTGTGATACTTGGTGATACACCCAGATATGCCTTAACATAATTGTTTCTTAGACCCGCTGATGCCTTAAGCAGAGGTAAGATTTGTGATTCGACTTCTTTTCCTGTGTAATCCCTTACAGTGACGTTTGCACTGACAACCTGTACCAGGTCGGTAAGATGAGATCGTTCACTCGAATAAACAAGACCAGTATTCAAAACAAGATTACATTGAATAGATTGTTGTGCCTTGGCCCGTTTGTCAGTGCGGAAACGAGATTCAGATTACAACCTCACCAAAATCACACTCAGTTGAACAGAATAAAATACAAGAAATAAAGACACCGAGAAATTTACGAGGTTCGGCAAAAATCCTGCCTACGTCCCCGGAGAGATATTGCTCTTCACTATGAGAATAACAGTACAAGTACACATGAGTTAAATCAACATAACCCAATCCCAAATCCCTTGCACACCCACTCATAGAATTTTCCCAAGAGCCTCACTTTACCCCAAGAGTTCTTTCACTAGAATACTTTTCACTCTAGCTCTCTTGATTTTTCTCTCACCCATGCCCATGCTTTCCCATGGGAGAGCCGAATGCTCTCCCCCTTTGGATGCTCTTTGATGCGGAGAGAGCCGAATGCTCTCTCTCTCTCTCTCCACTTCGGCTCTTTGCAGTTAAATGGAAAGAAAATGAATCAACCTCTCCTTTTTTGCACAGACATAATGATGATGCATCATGCTCCCTTTGCCTTTTACTCAAAACCCAAAGCCACTTTCGTGGCATGCAAATGGGAAATCAATAAAAAAGGCCAAAACAAAAGAATCCCATGAAACATCATCATTGTCTTCCACTATTAGCCAAAATGAGATATGGACACATTTGGTCACTATTCCGAAAGCATAACACACAAAGTCACTTAATTGTTAACAGCTCAAAATATGAGCCAATCACAACAATCTCCACCTTGGCGAATATACTGTGCAAAAATCCTTGCACCCATCACCAAAGTCCATTGGCCTTACGTACCAGCATACACACCCTGGATCAACCTCTTTGGTCCTGTTTCGATTCAGTCACTGCCAATGCATGTGCAGCTGTTGCAAGCTAAAAATCACCATTTAGCTTCAGACAGGATCTCGACACATCCTCGTCTCCTCCAGCAGGTTTTCCTCCTCTTCATTGTCTGCAACCTGGAAACTCGTCAGCGCGCCCGTTTCCAGCAACAACCCATCGAGCCAGACAAAATTCCCACACTTCCTCCTACCTCAGGACCATTTCATCACCTGTGAATCCCATAGCTCCACCTGCTGCAAAACCCCTGCAACACTCGAGACTAAACATCACCAGGAGAAGTGTTGCTTCGAGTACCTAGATGACATACTCAAAGTCTTCCACCACAAACTTGCTACAACCCGGCCTTGCACTCGTAGCACTGTGGACTCTTGCCTCCGGAACCGGATCTAAACCTGTTGTCTCTCTCAGATCCTCTTTCCAATTTTCTTCCACGATTCCAACCTTTAATAACTTAAGCAGTCTTGTGCCCACCATCATCCATGGTCTCCCTTGTGTATCATTCCACACCAAAGAAGTTTGCACCTGATCCAAACTTACTGTATTTTTCTATGTAGTAAAGTTTCACAAGGTTCTCGTACAAATCTGAAAGTGAGGTAAGAAGAAAGAGGCCTTTGTCTTCTTCCTCAACATCAACTTTCGCAGTTGATCTAAGCATCCCTGAACACGGCTTCCATTTCTTCAGGCTTCCATTACTCTCCTTTACCTAGAGTAAAACAGCCCCTCCCATTAAACTGCTCAACTGAAAATTCCATGGTGAACAACAAATCTGGACCTCTAACGAACCAAGCGTCCAACGATACTCTGATACCAATTGTTGTGCCTTGGCCCGTTTGTCAGTGCGGAAACGAGATTCAGATTACAACCTCACCAAAATCACACTCAGTTGAACAGAATAAAATACAAGAAATAAAGACACCGAGAAATTTACGAGGTTCGGCAAAAATCCTGCCTACGTCCCCGGAGAGATATTGCTCTTCACTATGAGAATAACAGTACAAGTACACATGAGTTAAATCAACATAACCCAATCCCAAATCCCTTGCACACCCACTCATAGAATTTTCCCAAGAGCCTCACTCTACCCCAAGAGTTCTTTCACTAGAATACTTTTCACTCTAGCTCTCTTGATTTTTCTCTCACCCATGTCCATGCTTTCCCATGGGAGAGCCGAATGCTCTCCCCCTTTGGATGCTCTCTGATGCCTTCTCAGGAGAGAGCCGAATGCTCTCTCTCTCTCTCTCCACTTCGGCTCTTTGCAGTTAAATGGAAAGAAAATGAATCAACCTCTCCTTTTTTGCACAGACATAATGATGATGCATCATGCTCCCTTTGCCTTTTACTCAAAACCCAAAGCCACTTTCGTGGCATGCAAATGGGAAATCAATAAAAAAGGCCAAAACAAAAGAATCCCATGAAACATCATCATTGTCTTCCACTATTGGCCAAAATGAGATATGGACACATTTGGTCATTATTCCAAAAGCATAACACACAAAGTCACTTAATTGTTAACCGCTCAAAATATGAGCCAATCACAACATAGATTGTATGCGAAGCTAAAACATATTGCTAAATTTAATCCAAGGCAAAAACAGTTCAGGACTTGAAGTAATGATTTCCATAAAAAATCAAAGGTGAGGATTAGAACATAGAGCCGGAAATAATTACTTACAGGAATCTTTACGATGTCCTCTCTCTTCCATCCTAGAGAGTTGTAGACAACAATAACCTACGAAAGAGAATGTGTCACGAAATAATTCTTACTTCTTAATCAAAACACAAACATGGAAGTAAAGGTCGTCGCCAAATTGTCGTCACCAGGGTTTTCCCATTTGATAGATCAGCTTCTGATGGGGGACAATAGCTAATATTTAGAAGTGGACACTGAAAGAAAGATAGATATAGTGTCAGCTTATTAGTCTAGTTTTTAAGCGAAGCGCCCCAAAAGTGTACGATAAGGGGTAGTTATAATTTGCCTGTTGAAACTTAGTTGATGAACTCTTGCAACCAGCTTCTGATTTTGACTCTGTCAAGCATGCAAGTGATTCCGCAACAACCTGCTCCGCCTGCATGAGACAATTGAACAGAAATCATTTCATGAAGCGAAACTAAAGAAATTAACTACTGAGAGCATCAGGAGAGATCAAGTTTACCTCCTTGTAACCTATTGAGAGCCGTTTTGCATAATCATACGCCACGTGCTGCTTCTCTGTGCCACTAACTGCATCATGATGTTGAACAATCGCTAAAGCATCAGCCAACGAATCTGTGTTAGGCCCCGACTTGTTCAACCCCTTGAAAAACTCCAATTGTCTTGCTGCCTGTTTGTAATTAAAGCACAGTTACCTCAACAGGCTTCACATTTACTAAGAGCATAAAACGTAATACTTTACCGAGAATTAAAATGGTCGTAAGAGTTTACCATATAGTAGCCGCCCAGTGTTCTAACATATCCTTTGATGGCTGGCCTGCTCGTGAAATATCCAGTCCAGTAAGCATTCACAACGTCAGCGTATCTGATAAATAAGCATGGTTAGAGCCTTAGAGGTCAAGAGACAGGAGAAGGAATCGGCACCTGCAAGAGAATTTGAATTTCTTAAATTTGAACTCACGGAAAGAAGTCATCGGTCTTGATTGGCCAGGATTCATTTGCTGCATACTTGGCATCAGTGTATATAGACGGGGTTGAATATAGCGCATTGACACGCCCATCCTACAAGGATTCATATGAGTACTTCAATTAACGCAGAAATCATAAAAGGGGCAGAAGATGCAAAATGACACCAATATTTTCAGCTATGGACCAACTTGATTCACATAATGGATGAACTTATCCATCTGTCGGAACCATGTATTAGCGTATTGATACTTGAAGTCCGTTCCCATAGTCCACATGATATGATTCGTACGCGTGATGTTTGCCTGAAAAAGAGAAGCAAGTAATTCATATAAGCGCCGAGAGACTCTCACACTTAAAACTAATTAGCCTAAACTGATGAAAATTTGATCATCTTACTTGTGACATTGCAGCTGATACAAAGTCATTAACGCGATCCGGCACATTGTAGTCGAACAGAAACGTATCATCCTTCAAACAAGGAAAGCAGAAATGATTGAATATTTATAAAACTACAGGGAACGTAGTCGATACACACACACATATAGAACATCGTGCCAGCTTCATTTGACAGTGGACTCACTTGTACAATAGGTGAAGGGTCATCAACTTCAAAGTAGAAATTATCAGAAGGAGGTTCATAATTCTTAGGAAATACGCCTGTGAAAATCTACACACACGACGGATTGATTAATAACACAATTCCAATCTTCAAATTCAAGCAATTAAGAAAAAACAAAAACACGGTTTCGGAGCTGAAAGGCCAAATTCAACACTGATAATTTTGATTAGTCCAACATCAGAAGAACATAAACTTTGTGTTACACACACCTGTGCAGTGTTGTGCTAGGATAGCACCAAACCCGTTGGAACCAACTCAAGCTAACCCACAGGAAATTTATCAAATGAAAATGCAAGAACAAAATATTAAAGACACCAAGATTTTAACGAGGTTCCTCAACAGTCAGTGTAACTGGAGTACGTCCTCGGAGCAGTAGGAGCTCACCCAATAATCCACTATCAACCAAATGGGAGTTTACAAAGTGTTGGCAATCTCACAACCCTCTAACCCAATACACCCAATACACCCAATATCTCTCACACACCATAGAAACAAATAGAGGAAGAAATATAATGAATAATTTCTTCTCTATACATATAGCTCAAAGCTATTACAACAACACCTATTTTGGTGGATGATTACTAACCAAATGAAGCAGCAGCTTCTTCTTCCTTTTGGGCTCTCTGCAGAAAAAGAGCTCTAACTTCTCTTTGCAGCTCTCACTTCTCTCTTCAGCTCTCTCTGCTGAAAAAATGAGCTTTTCATCTCTTCACTTCTATCCGAAACAAACCTCAATAATTATGGTTAATAAAAAACCACAAAAGAAGAAAACATCATCATTTGCTTTTCCCTAAAACAAGGAAGAAACATCATCATTTGTCTTTTTTCTTTTGAATTGTTTATGGCCAAAAGTTGGCCACTTGGCCACATACTCCAACAATCTCCACCTTGGCCAAGTTCCGAAATCACCATGATAAGCCAACCAACACAAAAACACTCCCAAACACTAGCAAGAGAACAACTCATGCAGAGCCAAATGCTCCAAAACTCCTACTGCTCAACGCCTTCTTTATATAGGCATAATGTGAGCCAAGTTCAAACAGTGAACAAACTTGGCTACACCAACAACCTTAGTCAACATATCAGCGGGGTTATCTTTAGTTGGAATCTTCTGGAGAATGATTTCCCCTTCACCAACAATTTCACGAACAAAGTGATAACGCACATCTATGTGCTTGGTCCTCGCATGATGAACCTGATACTTAGCCAAATAAATGGCACTCTGACTATCACAATGTACCTCCACCTGCTTCTGATCAACCCCCAAATCTCTAATAAGCCCATGTATCCAAATTGCCTCCTTTATAGCTTCAGCAACTGCCATATATTCAGCCTCTGTAGTAGACAAGGCAATAGACGACTGCAAAATGGACCTCCAACAAACTGGCCCTTTAGCCATAGTAAACACATAGCCTGTAGTAGACTTCCTTCCATCCAGATCACCTGCATAATCTGAATCAACATAACCAACTGCAAAATGACCAATACCAGAGTCATCTCTCTCAAAGCATAAACCAACATCTCGAGTACCATGGAGATATCTCAATATCCACTTAGCTGCTTGCCAATGCTCTTTACCAGGATTATGCATATATCGACTCACCATGCCAACTGCATGAGCAATATCCGGTCTAGAGCATACCATTGCATACATCAAACTACCAACCAAATTTGCATATGGTATATTTTTCATTTGCAGCTTCTCTTTATCAGTTTTAGGACATTGTAGAGAACTCAATTTAAAATGAGGAGCCAAAGGGGTACTAACCGGTTTGGTTGAATCATGAACTCCAAACTTCCGAATCAACTTCTCAAGGTATTGTTTTTGATTCAAACTGACGAAACCCTTTGCTCTATCTCTAGTGATCTCCATGCCAAGGATCTTCTTCGCTTCACCAAGATCCTTCATCTCAAACTCATTCTTCATTTGCTTCTTCAATTTCTCAATCTCTTCGACATTCTTTGAGGCAATCAACATATCATCAACATATATCAATAAATAAATGAAAGACCCATCTTGCAACTTCTTGAAGTACACACAATGATCATATTGACTTCTAGAATAATTTTGGCCTCTCATAAATTTATCAAACCTCAAATACCATTGCCTTGGAGATTGCTTCAAGCCATAAAGTGATTTCTTCAATTTGCAAAACAAATTTTCCTTCCCTTTCACTATATACCCATCCGGTTGACACATATAGATCTCTTCATTCAAATCACCATGTAGGAAAGCCGTCTTCACATCAAGTTGCACAAGCTCAAGATCATATTGTGCAACAAGAGCTAACATAATACGAATTGAGGAGTGCTTCACAACCGGAGAAAATATTTCATTGTAGTCAATGCCCTCCTTTTGTGCATACCCTTTAGCAACTAATCTTGCTTTGAATCTCACATTGCTTTTCTCATCAGCATCTTCCTTCTTGGCATACACCCATTTGCAACCGATAGCTTTCTTGCCCTTAGGCAATTTAGCTAACTCCCAAGTCTTGTTTTTCAAGAGAGAATTCATCTCATCACCCATGGCATTGCACCACCTCTCCTTTTCTTCACTCTCAATGGCTTCCTCATAATTGGATGGAATCTCTTCAGTGATAATAGGAAGAGCAAAAGCAACATAATCACTATACCGAGCTGGCTTTGGTAATTTGTCTCTTTCCTCTGTTCTTGGCAATAGACTCTTGAGGTGAAACTTGCTCTTCAACTTGAATAGAATCTTCAAGTTCAACTTCTTCAACATCCTCATGGTCTCCAACTTCCTCACTTGTAGTGGCTTTGACATCAGCGGAAATAGGATTTGAAGTACCAGAGGCAACTTTCTCAAGCTCCACCTGTTGGACATCTTTCACATTCTTCTCAGAGACTTTGTACATACTTTTCTTCATCAAATGTCACATCTCTGCTGATTACAAGTTTTTTCATCTCTGGGCACCACAACCTGTAACCTTTGACACCACTACTAAAACCAAGAAAGATAGCCTTTTTGGCTCTAGGATCAAGTTTATTTTCAGTCACATGAAAATAAGCAGGTGAACCAAAAATACGGATATAGTCATAATCAGAAGAAGGTTTTCCAGTCCATACCTCCATTGGTGTTTTACCCTGAATAGCAGCTGAGGGTAACCGGTTGATGATGTGACATGCATAATTAACTGCTTCTGCCCAAAATGACTTGCTTAAACTCGACTGAGACAACATACATCTAACCTTCTCAAGCAAGGTTCGATTCAATCTTTCTGCAACTCCATTTTGTTGTGGAGTTCCCCGAACACTGAAATGTCTCACAATTCCTTCTTCTTTGCAAACTTTAAAGAAAGGATCGGATGTGTATTCACCACCATTATCCGATCTCAAAATCTTAATCTTTCTCCCAGTCTGGTTCTCAACCATTTTCTTCCAACCCAAGAAAATGCTTAACACCTCACTCTTGTGCTTCATAGTGTAGACCCAAGACCTTCTTGAATAATCATCAACAAAGGTCACGAACCAATGTCTACCACTCAAAGAGGGAGTCTTTGTAGGACCCCAAACATCCGAATGCACATAATCAAGAATGCCCTTCGTCTGATGTACAGCGGTACCAAACTTCACTCTAGTTTGCTTCCCCAAGACACAATGCTCACAGAAATCAAGCTTACAAGTCATGGCACCTTTTAGAAGACCTTGTTTCACAAGCCCTTGTAGAGCTTTCTCACCGGCATGGCCTAATCTCATATGCCACAATCTAGTAGTATCTGAATCAGATGTGCCCATATTTTCAGAGACTACAGATGCTTCACCTGTCACAGTGCTTCCCTGCAATAAATACAAATGGCCACATCTAGGAGCTTTCATCACAACAAGTGCACCATAAGTAACTTTCAATGTCTGTCCATCTGAATGAAACCTGAAACCCTTGGATTCCAAAGTACCCAAAGAAATAAGATTTTTCTTCAAATTCGGTACATACCGAACACCTGTCAACTCTTTAACCATGCCATCATGCAACTTCAAACGAACTGTACCAATCCCTTTTGTTGTGCAAGGATTGTCATCTCCCATGAACACAACGCCACCATCAAACTCTTTCAAGCTTGAAAACCAATCTTTGTGAGGAGTCATATGATGAGTACAACCCGTATCCAACACCCACTTAGTAGCACAATCAAATGATGAGGAAGTGGTTAAAGCAAAATCAGAAAAATCTGTTTCAATCTCAGCAACATTAGCTTCAGAACTTTCTTTTCCTTTGGTCTTCAATTTGGGACAATCTTTCTTCCAATGGCCCTTATTACGACAAAAGGCACATTCATCCTTTTCCAAAGGTTTTCTACCTTTAGAGTTTCCTCTAGGTCGAGACTGTGATTTTTTCCTGCTAGAAGATGACCTCCTCTCCGATGATCTACCTCTAACAAATAAAGCTTCAGAGGTACTATCATGATTTTTATCTCTATGCCTCATTTCATAATTCATCAAGGCATTTGACACATCTTCAAATTTCACAGTTTCTTTACCATGCATAATAGTGGTAACAAAATGCTCGTAAGAGTCCGGCAAGGAATTCAACAATATTAAGGCCTTATCTTCATCCTTAATATCTTCATCTAAATTTAACAAGTCGGCAATCAACTTATTAAAAGCATCAAGGTGTCTAATCATTTTTGTACCTTCTTTGTATTGGAAGCGGTAGAGCTTTTTCTTCAAGTGTAGCCGGTTCTCTGCACTCTTTGTCATATACTTGTCTTCCAATTTTTGCCACAACACACTTGCTAATGTCTCCCGCATCACAAAATACTTCTGAGTTTTTGCAAGGCACAACCGAATTGAAGAGCAAGCCCACAAATTTAATTTCTCCCATTCTGACTTCGACATGGCTTCTGGCTTCTCTCCCAAAGCGGCAAGTAGATCTTGTTGAGCCAACACATCTTTGACCTCACATTGCCACATCCCGAAGTTGTTTGTGCCATCAAACTTTTCCACTTCGAACTTTGCATTTTGCACCGTAGTTCTTGCAAACCCGGAGGTGCTTCCAAAAGGATTCTCATCTTGCCCGTCTGACATCTTTTGGCAACTAGACAGTACCCAAGAGCAACCAGTGCTCTGATACCAATTGTTGTGCTAGGATAGCACCAAACCCGTTGGAACCAACTCAAGCTAACCCACAGGAAATTTATCAAATGAAAATGCAAGAACAAAATATTAAAGACACCAAGATTTTAACGAGGTTCCTCAACAGTCAGTGTAACTGGAGTACGTCCTCGGAGCAGTAGGAGCTCACCCAATAATCCACTATCAACCAAATGGGAGTTTACAAAGTGTTGGCAATCTCACAACCCTCTAACCCAATACACCCAATACACCCAATATCTCTCACACACCATAGAAACAAATAGAGGAAGAAATATAATGAATAATTTCTTCTCTATACATATAGCTCAAAGCTATTACAACAACACCTATTTTGGTGGATGATTACTAACCAAATGAAGCAGCAGCTTCTTCTTCCTTTTGGGCTCTCTGCAGAAAAAGAGCTCTAACTTCTCTTTGCAGCTCTCACTTCTCTCTTCAGCTCTCTCTGCTGAAAAAATGAGCTTTTCATCTCTTCACTTCTATCCGAAACAAACCTCAATAATTATGGTTAATAAAAAACCACAAAAGAAGAAAACATCATCATTTGCTTTTCCCTAAAACAAGGAAGAAACATCATCATTTGTCTTTTTTCTTTTGAATTGTTTATGGCCAAAAGTTGGCCACTTGGCCACATACTCCAACATGCAGATGAACCGAGACTCTTAGAACCCCGCCAGACAACCTCGAGGCTTTTGTCAACCATCCGTTTAGCTCTGTCTTGGTAGTCGATTCTTGCAAAGAAAAGAGAGTCGAATCCAACCTATGCAAGCAATATTGCTGATGTTCAATCGGTGGTTTCACAATACAACTCACTGATGCAAGATACGAATAGAAAAACCCTAAATAAATTGGCAATTTCGAAAACAAAAAGTTTCGAGAAACGCAGACCTCAGCTCCCAACAGGTAAGCCTGCACTGCAGAATGTCCAAACGGGTCGATCTGCCATCCAATCCTCGGAGTCACATTGAACTCTTGTTTGATAAACCGATGCCCGAGAGTCGTCTGATCAATCATGTCAATGTAATGAGTAGCAGCCTCATCGTGCATGCACATCCCCCCATTTCTGCAAAACAAACCCTAATCAACAAATTCACAACCCAACGTAGCGAAACACCAACGAAATGATTCGAAACAACGTGAAAGGCATTGCAAGATTTTGTACATGAGTTCAAGTTGACCGTCGTTGACTAGCTGTTTCACTATGTTCTGAGTCCCCTCGCTCTGCTCTCTCCACCAACGTTGGAAAAAAGCCTGCTCAACATATATGAACTTGCGGTTCTTATCGGCCAACAATGCCGGAACCAGAGAATCCAGCACGTTCTGAACGCAAGCTCCCTGCAAATATTCATAAACATTATTGTTATTTTTATCATAATAAATTAATTTGAACGTAAATTAATTTGAAGGAACATAATAATTTAATCATACCTGAATGGAATTATTGGAGCCAACGTAGTACTGATCGATGGTCTTCAACCATCCCACGTCGTCGTGGCTGTGAGGGACCAATGCACGTTCAGCTTCCCGGCGACAAGCCCCGACGTCGTATTGTACTGCACGTACTTGGACTCCGCATACAGAATAAACTCAAACACAACTAGTACTACTACTACTACTAACAACAGAAGCCGTGGGACACGGCAGCGAGCTTCAACGGCCGCCATGTCGTGGCAAATTAATGGTGTCGGTGTCGGTGTCGGTGACGGAATGCACTGAGACCCCAGAAAAGTGTTCATATATAAATATATTATATATATGTATATATATTGTGATGGGGCGACAATATTAAGGAAGAAGACGTTGCAAATCAACAAAATCGGATGGATTTTTGTCTTGTAGTTTGGTTTTCGTTGCCAACAATGCTAAAATATAAGGAAAACTAATGAAAAATGTTTGAAAACTTTGAATTTTAACGATAAGGATAAAATAACCATAATTAACTTTTTAGTGTAAAAATATAGTTTTTCGTTAAAATGAACAGTATCATAAACTTTTCATTAAAGTTCTCTAAAATATATACCAAGTTTTGGTCTTTGGCTGCTGGCAGTTAGCCTTTGGTATGGTGCTGCTGCATGTGAAGTAGTATTTCTCAGTAACAGTAAATTCTTCTCTACTAGGACCAACGAATCAATTTAGTTATAATTTTTAAAAAATTTGATCTATTATTCAATTCAAAAATTAACTCACATGAAATAAGATCTACTGCCATTATTAACTGACCCGTGATCTAATAATCCAATGTGACGTGTAGATATTGAAAATTAGTTTTCGGTGCAGGCGCCGGGACCATTGACAAGATAAATTTGGGTTTTGGGAATTGAGATTGGACCATTGGATTGGCGTCATCAGTGTGGCCCTATGAGTGCTGGCTGTTTCTTAAGGCTAAGGGCTTGTTTGTGTAACAATTTTGACTTTTCTAATGAACTCAACTATTTGGATGATTACATCTGATTTTTTTGTTATTTTATATTTTTTATGAAGATTACATCTGATTTTTTTGCTTTTTTGTATTTTATGAAGATTACATCGGTTTATTTAAGAGAGCACCCCTGTTGAAATGATCTTTTAGTGCAAATCGTTTTGAAATAATAATAATTTTAGACTCATCCCTCCCTTATTACAACCAGAGCTAAGACGGAGGACATGGTAATCCATTTTTATTTAACATTCTCACGAAGGAAGATAGTGTTTATCTATCCATTTATAAATACTAACATGAGGATCATGGAGGGAATATGAGAATGACATCTATAATTAAACTTATTCTCCTAAACAGAAGAAATCGAGTTAATATCTCAAGTCAATCAAACACGATACTAGAAAAAAGTTAAACGAGAAAATCTTAAATCCAGTCATACCATGTCACCATCTATCAAAACACACACAAGAAGAAGACCCCTAAGCATTATGGTCAAATACGAGTATACTATGATGGAGTGAATATGCAAGGAGAGAATTTCTCACGTCTTTATACCAATAACAAGTGAGTTGTGATTTCTTCTCTTTTTTTTTTCTCTCCTCTTAATTTTCACTTTCCACCAATACAAGCCTAGGAGGCGCGGATGAAATTTTTCATTGGATGCATGTAAGATTCTTTTGAAGGAAAATGTGACGAATGACGGCTTTGGTATTATTTTAGATGCGGGAGAGTGAAAAAAAGGAAGCATCATTTAAGTAAGAAAAGTGATTGGAGAATTGATAATTTAGGGGTTAAAAAATTATTTGATACTGTCATATCCTGAATATGGATGTTATGGACTTTTCAGACTGTTTAAATGAACGATACTTTCATTTGGCGTAACAGATTTCTCTCCGTAAGCCATAACGCGGTCGTAGAAGAGGTGGTTGTGGAGCCAAAAATAATCACAAGGCGACACGTTGATTTTTGGGTAAAAGAGAACAAAAATACCCTTGAGGCATACCGGGATTCTTACGCGCGAGCAACGGACAATCATCCGTCAATCAAGTCAAAAGTGTCCAAAATAGGTAACAAATTCAAAGATATTCTCATCCATCCTCATCTTAGGTAATTATTTTATAACCTACATAACATTCCATTTAAATGGAGGTTAATTGGCTAATTAATGGATTAATTCCTAATTAATCCATTAATCACCAATTAAATCATCCATTACACCCCCAAAAATACCCAAGGGCCGGCCACTCTTTCTTCCAAAGAGGGTCGGTCATGCTCTATAAATAGGACTCCATTTTCTCTAAAAAGCTAGTTCCAACACTCTTGCAAAACTCCCAAAAACTCTCTAAACACTTTTCTCTCTAAATTCTAAATTTGGCATCGGAGGTTCTTCGACCAAAGCCCCCTTATTCATCGTGGGCGCGTGAGGCTTTTGGCCTTAACCAAAGATATTAGTTGTTTTGTCGGTGCAATTTTGTCCAAGATCAAGGAGGAATAAATTTGCATCCACAAATTGGTGCTTTCATTGAGAGAAGAAATCCACACTCGTAGAAGACTCTCGCATAAAAAAGGTTTTTCTCTATTTTCTAGTCTACTTGTATTTTTTCGTACGTTCTTATTATTAAATTTTATTTGCAAAGATTCTTTGATAAAACGTAAAAGAAGAATACAATGGCTAGAAATTTAGAAAATTCCACGAGTGAAAATTCCAATATCCAAGGAATGGGACCACAACGATCCACGAGGCTAAATGCGACAATAAATGGAGCTGCACCTCCACCACGAGTTTCCACCACAGGAACCACCACGGTGGCTACCTCGATAGCCACCCATGACGAGGTCCATGGTGCATTCACCACGGCCCAAGCCATGCCATCCAAGGCTCACGGCACCAAGGCCACGGCCTAAGCCATGTCACTCCAAGCCCAACGTGAACTCAATGCGTTGCCAAACCGAGCCCAAGCCTCGCACCCATGTGCATCACACTCTGAGCAGCCTTCTCCCGCCGAGCAACCCACTCTCGTGGCCCAGCTTGCTCCAGCCAAGCAGCCCACTCTCGTGGCCCAACTTGCCTCCGCGACCCAGTCTGCTCATGTGGCCTTCCAAGTAGCCCAAATCGATCCAAGATTAGTTCAACTATCCCGGCTCCAAATTTCCAGACTGACGATCAAACTAGAAGCATTTTCACCACATTTTTCTTCGGATTCGACATTTCCCAACTAAAATCTCACGCCCGAAGTCTACGACACTTCCATTACTCAAGAAGACGCATTCTTTCCAAGCTATTCCAACCCATATAGAGAACAACACTTGTCTCGACAAGTCATAGAGTTGATGAGCGCCTTCGCACATCAGACGACCTTGGTGAACCAACTCTTGCAATGCACCGAGATGCAATATGCCCCAGACGAGGTGTCCCGAAGTAGGACAATGGCAGACAAAGAACCTCTCCATCAGCGTCCCAGCAAGTAGCCACTCGACCAGGCCCAACCACGAACCGAGCGTTCAGTCAGTGTACACTCTCGATTGGGCCCCTGAGATAGCGTATACTTCCGTCTTAGAGCGCGGATGAGCGTGCACTCACGACTAGGCCCACAGACGAGCATACATTCATGGTTGGGGTCACACTCCGATAGTCAACATGAGCAATTTTCCAAGCAAAGTGTTCAATCACAGCTAAGCCCGCAAGGAGCATCATCCACCTCACATCGGAGTAGGTAACACGACGGACGGAAAGAAGCAGTCACTCAATTCGGCTTAAGTTCAACCGGCAGCCTGCGAAAAACTCGCTCACCTGCTAGGAACACGCTACATGCACCGCATCCACAGCATAAGTGAGCCAAACACATGAAAAAGCAGCTTAGACCAACAAGTCGTGGTTGGGGGCAGCCGAGAGCTCCACTACCTTAACAAAGGAAAATTCAGGAAGAAGTAGAGAGACTCTTGACCAAGCGATTACGTAATTTCCAACGCAACGAGGTTATTGATGAGACATTACGACGGAACATGACCAATATAAGCAAGTCACCCTTCACGGACGAGATCGAGCAAGCAGAGCCTCCACGCGAGTTCAGCATGCCACATTTCACATCTTTTAAAGGGGATGAAGACCCGAAGAAACACTTAAAGCACTACCGAAGCGCAATGATCCTCTATCGAAACAACGATGATCTCATATGCAAGATATTCGCCATCACTCTACAAGACGAGGCGCAAGATTGGTTCTACACCCTGCCGTCACAATCCATCCGGAATTTCGACAAACTTTCTTTGGTTTTCACCAAAGAATATTCATCATGTCGCTTAATAAAAAAGAAGTCCGGCCATTTGTTCGACGTCAAGAAGAACCCAAAGGAGTCGCTTCGCGACTATGTGAGGAGGTTTAAAGTAGAGAAGGCAAGGATAGTCGAATGCAACGACTCGATAACTAGAGCAGCCTTCCAAAAATGACTTCCAGCAGACTACCCGCTATTCGGAAAATTGATCATGAAAGAAGATCTAACTCTGGCAGACTCTTTCGCTATGGTAGAGAAGCATGCACTTTGGGACGAGGCTCGCCAATGCATATTCAAGGACTTGAAGAAGTACTCGACATCACTTTCTTACTATCCAAATCGGAAGCAGCAGAGGACTCATTCGCATGTTTAACAATATCTGAACCAACAATAAGCTCTACTATCATACGAGAAGAGTTGGGGGCCCAACTACATGTATACTACAGTTCAAAAGCTCGCATCGATGCTATTAGAAATTCAAAAGCTAACTTTGGCGATAGTTGTTGTAACTCAAACGCTCAAGTTTTACCTTCAAACGCACGCAGTCATCATCATGACGCATTATTCCGTCGAATCCAGACGCGCGACGATAAAGGCGTAGACCCTGGCGGATGCAAAGTTTTCTAACGAATTCAACAACTTGGCCTAAAAGACACTCCAAAGGCAGATGAACACTGGAATGAACACTCAAAAGCAAGTTTTGTCCTCGTCGTCCCAGAAGATTATACATAAGAGCAACATGTACCGACAGTTAAGCACTACCTGCTGCTGCGTGTCACACGACTCTAGCTCTCCATTATTCAGCTCTAGAGTGGCCCAATACCAGCAGTTGAGCATCTCCTGCTACATGTAACATGGCCTCAGCTCCACGGCTCCCTACCGTGCCTTTACGCCTAGCCTTGACAACCCAACAGAGCGGCCCAACGACGCCCCGAAGGCAGCCGAGCACACTTTAGCCGCACCTGCTCCCTCAATAGAGATTTTTGGCATTTGCATGTCGACGGCACATCCAACTACAAAGGCTCGCGAGCAGCCGTGATTCTTGTCACCCCA